ACGCTAGCCACCACTTAACTACACTTGTGGTCTGGAGATGTCACGAAAGAGTCATGCATGGAGGAGTTAAGGAAACACTCACCGAGTTGAGATCGAACTTTTGGATTGTTCGAGGCCGATACTTTATCAGAAGTTTGTTGTTTAGATGCACAGTTTGTAAGAAGTTTGAAGGGAAACCGTATAAGGTTCCACAAGCTCCACCCCTGCCTAACTACAGAGTCAAAGAGGCGCCTGCATTCTCGTACATCGGTTTGGATTATGTTGGACCTCTTTTTGTGAAGTCTACCAGTGACGAAGAATGTAAGGTCTGGATTTGTTTGTTTACTTGTTGTTCTACGGGGGCGGTCCACTTCGAGGTTGTGCCCAATATGACTTCAGAGGCATTTCTGAGGTGCTTCAGAAGATTTGTAGCTCGTCGTTCAAGGCCTTCTTTAGTGGTATCAGACAATGCCAAGACCTTCAAGAGTGCTTCTAAGGAGCTTGAGAAGATTACAAATGATCCCAGTGTTATTAAGTACTTTGCTCAAGAGAAGATCAAATGGTCCTACAACTTAGAGAAAGCCCCATGGTGGGGAGGCTTTTACGAACGACTTGTCAAGTCACTGAAGAGATGTCTTAAGAAGACAATCGGCCGAGCCAAGCTTTCCTATGATGAACTTGTAACTGTTGTTACAGAAGCTGAAATGATCTTAAATTGCCGACCCATTTCATATGTCTCTTCTGAGGACCTGGAAGAACCCCTCACACCGTCCCACCTCATTGTTGGTCGAAGACTCGGCGCCCTTCCTGAAATAGACAGTCCTGCAGATGCAGATTTTAGAATTTCGCCGGACGACCTGAGCAGAAGAGCAAGACACGTTGATATGATTCTGACTCATTTTTGGAAGCGTTGGAGAGCAGAATACCTTCTTGAATTACGAAATGCCCATAACCAACTGAAGAAGACGGCGGGATCAAGGGTAGTGTGTGTCGGAGATCTGGTATTGGTTCATGACGAAACCCACCCAAGATCTTATTGGAAGATGGGCAAGGTGGAACGGCTTCTGATGAGCAAGGATGGGCAGAGTAGAGGTGCTGAGGTCAGAGTCCAAGGGAGAGGATCAAGTGGAGGTGGACTCTTAAGGAGACCGCTACAATTGTTGTACCCACTGGAAGTAAGCTGTTCTACGAATGACGCAGCTCCTCAGGAACAAGTACTTGAATCACCGGAACAGCCGACGCAAGGTCGAGCGAGAGGAAATCGAGAGCGGCGTAGAGCTGCAGTCGAGGGAGAGCGAAGAAGAAGATAGTGGATTGCTGAATTACAAGACGAACATTAAGTTTGTTTATGTATTCTGAACATTGAACAGTTTTTTTTGAGAGAGACTATATTCACTGAGTTATATCATTATTATTTTTTTATTTCTTTTCGATGTTTGATTCTAGGTATAGAAGGTGGACCATTCTTCATGGTCCACGGGGGGGAGTGTGCGCGATGACGTAAGAGTTTAGGAGCGCGCTAGGCCTTCTGGGAGAGATCCGAAAACGTGTTGCGTTCTTGTAGCGATCTTGACGATCTGTGAGCCTTTAGTGAATTGAATCTGTGGAATCCTGTGTAATCCTTTAGAAGTTGGACCCTTCGGAGTGTTGTAACCTTTTAGGAATCGAGCCTGACAATTCTTGGAATAAAATACAGTTCATATTCGCCTACATATACTTCTGGTTTTCATACAATACAATATTTCTGTCTAGTGTAAATCAGCTCAGTCTGTCGCAGTTTATGCTCGTAGAACCATTTTTGGAATTTCCAGTTACATCAAATTAGTCACATTATACTGTCACGCTATATTTTGGGGCACAGAGGGATTGGGGGAGGGGTACGTGGAAATAATGCAAATTGTTTCCTGCTTAGAATTAATGGCTAACTTGTTTATTTTTATTCATAATGGTGGAATTTAAAAGTTATAATACAGCCCCCACTTAAAAATGGTACTCTTTTTTTTTGGTTAGGAAAGTCTTTCAAAAGGGTACAATGTTCTGAATGAGTTTACGTTTCAGTCTCACATGAGGTTCTGTCGCATGCAATGGTTGCCGACAAGGTTTTATGGTAGCCTGAGTGTGTATAGCCGCCTCCTCCCTTCAGAAAAAATAGCCCCTTTGCAGCCCGGTTAAAAATCGCCTTTCGGCGATTCTTGTTACAAAATAGTTCATTGGTTATATACAGGAGCATGAAGCCTGTGGACGACTGCACATAACAAATGTCAGCTCTATGAAAAAATATATGAATGAAAAATGGCCTATTGAAGTCTGATTCAAAACAAACAAATTACACCAATTTTTTTCCTCGAAGATAAGAAATTAACTTAAATACAGATAAACCCCGTACATTTTTGAAAACAGCTACCCTTTATGAAAAAAGTGGCGAGAGAAATGCGTGAGTAGTGTCACGTAGAAGCCACTTAGCTGGCACTTTGATTCTAGTCAATGGAACATTCCCATTGTTCTTATTACACTTGAGCCTCAAATTAGTAAATATCTCTGTTTGGAACTGTGAGCTAGGCAACAAACTGCTTAGACACTGAGGTTAGTCAACTGTATATTTTGGGGGCTTGAGTTAATACAGTTTATCTCACAGATGTACTAATAAAATTATAATTGGGCAACCAAGGGGAAAAATAGTTGACGGGAAAGGGAATATCTGTTATAGTTAATTTTTATCTCAGGTAATTTTTCTTTTTCTTTTGTTTTGGGTATTTTAATGTTTACAAATGGAGCTGAAACAAAAGAAAAATAAAATTTACCTGAGATAAAAAATTAACTACAAGATATCCAAAGTGGGAAAAAGGGGGTACTACTAGGATCCACCACAGTAACAATTGCTAACCCAAAAGACTAAAGTATGTCAACAACTAGCCTGTGAACGGCAGATGTTTCTCTTCGCTCATGGTACGCCGTTCGCAGGCTTGTCAACAACATGGAAGGAAAAAGTTCGCCGGTGCAGATCCACACCGATTTCCACCGTTTTAAGAAAATCGGTCAAATTTTTCATAAATAAATATACTTTTAATGGAAAAAAAAACTTTCCAAGTTAAAATCTGGCCAATATCCTTTCCGAATGACTAAGAAATCCAGGAAAGGTGACTTTAGGGAGTAAAAATCCAAAAAAAACTTCACAGGGGAGGATGTCCCCAGATCCCCCTGGAAGCTTGCGCCTTCGACCGCGATCGTTCAGGAAATCGGTTAGTATTAATCTTCGATCCGCGCCTACTGTCTGTAAGTTTTAGATGGCCATAATCAGGACCTTAGAGGTCGTTTATAGGTTACTAAAGCAATATCCTCGCCAGGACGTTTCTCCTTCAGAGTTATCAGGTTGTAGGAATAAATATACCTCTGGCATCTCTTCTGATGATCTGAAACGTTAACCGCGATACTAGTATACATTTATTGTTTAAACGTAATGTCGAGACGGCTGTAAGCCCAAGCAAGCTTGGTCAATAAGAGATTTATTATATGGCCAAAAAGTGAACTTTTCCATGCGGGATCAATGCAAGGAATCCTTAGCGAACAAGATAGGGCCATCTAGGCAATCAGAACAAAGGTTTTGTTTCATTGCCCACTCGCGTATCTAGCTATAGGATAAGTCAGCATAAAAGGCTTTAGCTGGAGGGACTAAGAACAGATGTTAGCCCGATTGCAAATAGACACTGAACATTCTGCGATCATAGTCAACCATACTTCCTTTCCTGGACCAATATTGTACAAAACTATAAAGCGTTTGGGTGCCTAAAAATACTATTATACCCCAACTTTGAATGGGAAGGACGTTTGGGATATGGAAAACGAATGAAAAAAAAGCTGAAATTTTGAACATTGGCAAAAAGTGCATGAAATTGGTTAACCTTCCCAGCTACTTTTGTTTAAAAATTAACAACGCAGACAAAATTTGTCATTGTAAAAATTAACCACCAAATAAATAAATAAATAAAAAGGTAACAAGCTCATGATTTCCTTCACGAGTGTAGAGTAACATAGCCTGTGTAGCAAGCGCCAGTTTTTCCTTTTACAGGCCACGCGAGGGGAACACACGAAGGGGTCGAGGTAAAATAAACAGAATAGGGAGCTTAAGCAACAACGTTTTTGAGCAACGCACGTCAACCGGAAGTGGCCTTTTTTCATTTTTTGACGGTGGTTTCGCGCAAATTTTCAGTCAAATCGCCTCTATAACAGTAAAGAAGCTAAGGAATACAAATTTTATATCATCAAGGCATGTTAAGAGGGAAAATACCTCACTTCCGGTTGACGTGCGTGGCTCAAAAACGTCGCTGCTTAAGCTCCCTAATAACTGGCGCCAACTACGCAGTTTGCCGTAGTTTCACTTGTATTAGTTTAGCACAAGTTTCTTTAGCCCATGATATTACTAGTGATTTGGGTACGGGGATACCCAAATCACCGTAGCGAAGTAAATGATAAATGAAGTACTTGTATGTATGTATCTATGAGGGTTGGAACCCACTAAGGGACCGGTCATTATTTATCGCCTGGGGGGGAGGCGGAAGATTTGGAGCTAAACCAGGTGAAATTTATCCGATCCCCCCTTTGAATGTTACTTCACTGAAGTGATCCCCCCTAATAACTTTTGATGACTTTCGCGATCCCCCCCCCCCCCACCACATCCCATGTCTTCATTTTCCAAGCAAATCCTTTCAAAGTTTTCAGTGACCCCCCCTTTTTGGGTTCTCAGTTACGACTGATCCCCCCTTTTTTCTCCCAAAAATCAAGTGGTCCCCCCTAAAACCCTCCGCCTCCCTCCTCCCAGGCGATAAATAATGACCGCTCCCTAAGATGAAAGTAAATATTCATGAGGGAGACACCAAACGCTATCCTTACCTCTGTAGAACGATGTTCTCATGGTTAATACTTTACAGGAGAGCTTTTTATGTCGACACGAATAGCTATGATCCTGTATAGTGTATACATAGCCTTATAGCTAGGAGGCTACTTTGCTTTATAAGCATTGTTGATCTCACAACTGGAACTTCCAACAGACGAAACTTACCTCCAGCTAAATTGGTGCTAGCTGACAAAGCAATCGCAGCTGCTTGAGCTGAAATGAAATAAGGGTGATTATAATCAGTTTAAATTCCTTGAACTAAGAGAATGGCCCCAAAAAAGAATAACAATGGGGAAAGAGAGAATATATTACAATCAATAAAAGACAACCGTAAAGGACCGTAGAAAAAGACACAATAGGTTACTAGATAATACCTTTTCGCCGTTCAAATTCATCCTCTTGATTTCTTCTTTCTTCAAACTCCATTACTTCCTGAAGTAGATCAGTTTTCTCCTTCTGGGTTAAAATATTCTTCAGAACCTCAAGATGGTCAATCCCTAGACATTCGTTGTTTTCCAGCTCCTTAAACAGTGATCTTACATCTTGTATGCTGTTATGTCTCTCTTCCGGTATACGATCACCGCAAATAGCGACAAGTTGTTCGAGACAATCGAATTCGTCGAGATCAAGAATGATTTTCTCCAGCAAGCCGTTATATTCCTTTCTTTTGGTCTCAAACAATTTGACTTTTTCGAAAAGAGACCACTCTTTCAGGCTTTTCAACAGATCTTTCAAAATCTTCAATTTATCAGGACCAAGAAAACCATTCTGCTCCAATTCTACAAACAACGGGAAGACATCTTGCATGTTTTCTTCATTGCGAGGCGCCACCTTCTCTCTACACATAATGACTAACTTTCTGCCTACATTCAGTTCGTCTATCCTCTGGCTTATTTCGAAAAGTAAACTGTTGTATTCGACTACAGACATTGCAACGAAGAATATAATCGATTGTCTTGAAACTTATGTTCCAAGGAAACGTGATTTGTCTCCGCTTCAGGTTTTACTTCATTTGACACGCGATGAATTTCAATGAATTTTAATCGACCGATAATTAATTATGCGATCACTCGAATGAAGGTTTTGCATAGTTATGCAAACGTAATTGAAGTCTTGGCTGGGCAAGCTTCAATCTCAGACAAAAACCTTGGCATTGAAACACTTTTTAACTCGTGGATTACGCGTGGCCTAAGGAACGAGTTATTGTCGGCACTGCAATATGCCAATGTGTCACTCGGCCGCGGGTGTAGACACCGTTCGTAATTAGTCGGCTCCGCACGAAAGCGCCCGATATCAAAACGACAACTGTCGTAGGTCGATCGTTCCGCGATCGAGAAGTGCTGAGCATGCACTGTGCCCAGAGCTTTCGATGTTATGACTTTCACGGTGCCTTTCACAAGACTATAAGTTGTCTTCATGTGCACTTTGTATGTTTCGAATTAGCATAGCCAACTGCTAACTTTGAGACCGAAGTTTATGAACTTTTGAAGCTTTTTGACTCGTCCAGGCGATAAACATGACGAAGGGATCAGTATAAATGCTCTCGGACTCCCCAAGCTGGCCCAAACTCACGATTCTCTCGATTCTGCCGTGAGTCTCACGATTTTTTAACTTTTCTCACGACAAGACTCGCAATCTCATGGTTTTTAGAGAAATAATATATCATTCTGAAATGAAATGTTTCTCCGGTTAAATAACAATGGAAATGTTTACTGCTACTGAATGGGTCACGCAGAGAGAGGGGGAAGGTACTGGAGGGCAAATCTCCCTCCTCCCTACATTTTCGGGCCATTCCTCCCTCCGCCCTATTATATACCTCCCCCCTCCAGAGAACTGCAAGCAGTACAACGCCGTTAGCAGGAGACTTCGCGATGGTTTTGCGAGACACTTAATATCGCTTTGTCGGCCATATGTTGTTCAAATGCGACGAAATGAGTTAAAGTATGCTTGTTTTCCTCGAATATATCTCTCAATTCTTCATAAATAAAGCTCTACCAGCTTCAAACAGCATCCACCAGCAGAATTTCATGGGCAAAAATGTTGAAGATAATTAGTTTAACTGTAATGTTTACCAATAGTTGTTGTGGCGCAATATATATCGCATCGACGATGGTTGACGTCCTGGTTTAGTCAAAATCCTGTATTGGTAGGATCTCGTTGCCAAGCTTTGATCTCGCTAAGCAGCCTTCAATTTCTGCTTTAAACCCAGCGCTCTTAGCTTTAGCCATTTGTGAGTTAAGCTGTAGTCCACATCTGCCTCTTTCACTCTAGTACAGTACTTTCCATCCAATGATTTATCTTCCCATTTTTGGGGCGGTCTTCACTTGTCCTTGCTTTTTAAGCATTGGTCTTAGCTTTTTTCGCAAATGCTGTGACCGATTTATTTTCAGCAAATTTCAGTTCTGGGATGTCAAGTTCTTCTCTGTAGGTTTCTGCTTGCTTTCTAATAGTGTACACTTTCTTTGTGAGATCATGTTCTTACACCATTGCTAGCATGGGATCTTTCGTTTCTTGAAGCTAGGTATCTAACCCGATAGTGGACGGTTTGAGGCTAATTTCTAGTTCGATAAGACCTCTACCTCCTTCTTCACTCGGTAGGTAGATTCTATTAACATCAGCCTTTGGGTGATGCAGCTTCCTTGTTTTTGCATCAATTCTCGGTATTTCACTTTTCTTCCAGTTTACTAATGTTAAAGCCTAGGTTTCTACAGGAACAGCGAGCGTGTTGATTGCCTCGAATCTGTTAGTGGCATTAAGCTCACTCTTTAAGACTAGCCTGACTCTTCAGTAATATTCTTTCCGGATTTTTTTTTTTCATCATCGAATGCTGTATTCCATCTCCCTCGTTCAGACCAAGGTATTTGTATGATTCTTCCACCTCTAGCCCTAGTTGGATGGTAGTATTCAAGTCTAGCTCTAATGTCAGTTGTTGTAACCAATCTTCCTCTTCAGAAAATAGCCTTTGCACATTTATCAAGTGAAGGCTACAGTCCATTTTAGTGTCATAAGTAAACGTCCTGACCGTGCTCAGGATACCTGTTTGCTCTTCATCATTTTTTGCAAATCTCTTCAGATCGTCCATTTAAAAAAGATTTTTTTTTGTTTGTTTGGTTTTTTTTTAATGCTTCAACACTTTATTGCAAACATTACAAAGTATTACAAACAAAATATTGAATAAATAAATAAATTACACTACTATACACAAAAAAGCCATGGTGATTATATAATTAAAACTTATATTAAGCACAGGAGAGGTTTCCATAGAGAGTGAAACTTGTTAATTAGCCCTTTCGATTGGAATATACATTTATGTACAATTAGCTTGCCTTTAACAAAATCAAAAAACAGGTCGATCTTAGGGGTCTTCTGTTCGAATCTCTGAGAAAAAGTGTGTCTCATTCCCAGTAAAATAAAATAATTGAAAATTAGAGTTCTTTTGTCTTCTGGATAGTAACCATAAAGTATGCTTAATTCATCTACAAGGTAACAGTCTCCGCTTTGATGATTCCACCAGGGGATTATTTTTGCCCAGAAACTGTTTATCTTGGTACAATTGACTAGCATATGGGGAAGCGTTTCTAAAGAGTTACAATGAATGCAAAGCGGGGAGTTTGAAATCTTCATCTTATATAATTTGCTGCCATACGGTAAAATATTGTGGATTATTTTGTACTGGAACATACATAATTTAGTATCCTTGGTTAAGAGAAATGGCAAAGTGTAATTTGCTTTAAGCTTGTTAGAATCAAGACCTAGTCTGCATAGCCTAGAAATAGCCAAAGGTTCCTGGAATTTCCTTTCTACTAACCGTTTGCGAATACCTTTGCAGCTGTTTTCAGCTGTTCGTTTCAACTTCTGCTCACTCAAATTAGAGTCCAGCCTGAGAGCTGCACGTTTCCACGGTCTGGAATGGCCGTAATAAGACCGTAGAAATTAGTAAAAGGCGGCCTAAGGCCGGTTTTCCTGCAGAAGTCTTCATAACTTAGAAGTTTACTATTTTCATTCAATAAGTCACAGATTCTTTCTATACCTGCAGCGTGCAAGTCTTTCCAGTATATAGACTTGCCTGCTATGGTTATATTTTTATTATTCCACAGAAATATATATCCGGGATTGGCTCGGTCATCATCTCGCTCTCGCGCACCTTAAGCATCAGCCCAAGATTTAAGGACGTCTGTGTAGAAGGCTGGCACGGTGTTAAGATTTAAAAGATTAATATCATAGTCGCAATCAAAAACAAAGGGTCCACCAACTTTTCATAGATAAAATGATGGAATTGTCATCCCCTGATTACCTACTCTTTCCTGCATTCTTCGGACCCAAGCACATTGCAAAGATTTGGATTAAGTTTCATACTCCGGCAAATCAAGTCCGCCTTGATCTTTTGAACCTATAAGGGTGTCGCTCTTAATTTTTGGCTTCTTTCTTCTCCAGACAAAATAAACAATCAGTCTATTCACCTTATCTATAACATGAGCGGGTGTGCAAATGCAAGCACTCGAGAAGAGCAGTTTTGACAACCCCAGTGTTTTAGCCATTGTTATACTGCGATATAGCGAAAGGTCGCGTTGTGACCAAACATTAAAAAGTGTTTTAAGTTTGTTTATTTTAGGCGTGAAGTTTTCCCACTCGCAAAGTTTATAATTGTATGAAAAAGATGTTCCTAGAGCACTGATAGGTGTTTCCGGCCACTTAACTCCAAAGGGAGTATCCTTCCTGGCTACATTTTTCCCGAGCCATAATGTTTCTCTTTTTGCAGTGTTTAGTTTGAGCCCACTACAATCACCGTAAATGTCTAACAAATCCAGAAGTTTCCCAAGCGAGATTTCATCCTTACAAAAAGTGGTGATATCACCGGCGTACTGGGATAATTTAACCTCTCTATTGGCGACTTCCTTTTATTTCTTTACAAGATCGTATACAGGCGGAAAGTGTTTCTGCAGCTAATAGAAACAGTAATACTGACAAAGGACAGCCTTGTCTGACGCCACGTTCTAATTTAAACCAACTGGACGCACGCATATCCATTATTAACTGTGCAGCTTGAAATGTTCGAGTAAAGAATTCTTACCCAATTCTTAAAATCATTGCCAAATTGAAAGACATCTAAAGCCTTAGAGAGAAACGCCCACTCTAAGCTATCAAAAGCTTTTTCGAAGTCTATGAAAAGGGCGATGCCTTCTTGATTTTGCTCTGTTGTGAAATGTATAATATCCGATATCATGCGGATATTTTCTCCGATAAACCTTCCTTCAATATAACCAGTTTGTACGTCACTCATGATTGATGGAAGTACTTTTCTAAGTCTCAAGGCGAGAGCTTTGGTGGCGATCTTGTAGTCTACATTCAAGAGTGAGATGGGTCGCCAGTTATTGAGCAACGATAAATTCTTATTCTTTTTCGGAATAAGTCTAATAATACCTTGTCTTTGTGAGATCGATAACTCTACTTTTACAAAGCCATAGTTAAAACTGTAGATCATTGTATTACTCAAATGGTCCCAGAAAAAGCTGTAAAATTCAGCTGTTAGACCTTCTGTCCCGGGAGATTTGTTTTTCTGAAAACTCAGCGCATATCTGCACTCGATCCGATACTGAACTTCCGTTGTTTCTTTTCAAGTTGTTGGTAATACATTTATTCTCGTGATTCCTTTTTTCAAGATTGAAAAAGGATTTGGAGCTTCGTTCTCCAAATTCGTGCCATCTTGCCTTGGAGCGAATGCATGCGCCTCGGGATCGATCAAAGGACATTTTTTCAAGTTTCGATTAAACGGTCATATGCTCATTGATGTGCTCAGGTGTTGATTGACTGTCCACCAAATTTTGCAGCCTTTCAGCTTCTTTGGTGAGGAATTTTTCTTGGTCTTTGCATTTTTTCTGTCTTAGTGAATTAAGGTGATTGCAAAAGACCTTACAGTGAAACCTGTATTAAGCGGACACCGTATTAAGCGGACAGTAGCCGAATTCCCCAAATGTATTTCCCTTTAATATTTACTTTAAATGAAACCTTTATTAAGCGAACACCTCTATTAAGCGGACGCAGACACCTAAAGAGTACCTGAAATGGTCATTTCTATTGTTGCCAACCTGTATTAAATGGACACTTGTAATTAAATTCCACCACCAAACATGCCAGACACCGGAAATGCAAAAGATTGCCATCCACAAATTTTTCAATTTTTACATTAAAAAACGTGACTTGACGAACTTATTTGATTAGTTTCACAGTACAGTATTGTTTTCTATTTCGTTTGTTTGTATAGAGCTTGTTTCACTCATCTCTCTTCAAATTTGAGTTGCAATCTATGTGACTTTGATCAACTGGTCCACTTGAATTAATGCAAATGTATATCGTCATAGTCTCTGGGAGTACAGCTAAACGTTTCCACTGTACATTTGAGTGGCATCTGACACCTCAAACGACGTTATCTATCGAAACCTGTATTAAGCGGACCAGGAGGGGGGGGGGGGGGGGGAGCTACTTCCCATACATTCTCTTAAATGAAATCCAAACGATGTTCTCACAACTTGCAAAGCGATCAGCAAGGGTCTTGCCAGCGGATTTGTGTACTGATCATGCACATTACGTCAAAAACCATAGATCAACGGTCTTGAGAAGAAACAAAAACATGGCGGCCGAAGGCGGGACTGTTTCTCACTATTATATTTTGGTAATTCGCAAATTTATTGATTTTATGTCGCTTTTCAGACATAGTGTGTGGTTTTCTTTTTCTGTTAAACAATTTCCTTTTGCAGAGTTTGGAATATGTAACATATAACGTATATCTGCTAGGAAAAGGCCGCCGAAGAGTTGAGCTATCGAGCAGTGTTTTGCTGCAAACCTTAGGAAAGTTAAAGTCGCTTCAAGGTACAGACCTTACGTAGTAGTTGTGATTTGTTTTAGATCGTTTTGAATTTTAACTTTGAATTCAAGGTGTTGACTGATCGAAATAAACGAAGTGAAATGTTATGAAGTGTTAATTTTTATTCAATTATGATATGTAGAGCAGTATTAAAACTCATATTTATAAAGCTTTCTTGAATATGCTTGCTTCCGATAAATTTGACACTTGCTCCAGTAATTTTTATCAGCATCAAGTTACCCTTGCCCGGCAAAAACGATGTAACCTATAAATAAATCCATCAAGGATTCCATCGAGTGCGTTGTTGTTGGTTAAGATCTAGCACGGTTGCGTTTTAGTTTCCCCCGCATTACAGTAGCGAAAGACAAATACGATATGCAAGAAAAACAAAGTTGCACGATATAATTTTTTTCAATTTTTTAAGTATTTCTGATTTCCTCTGCCGGTTCGGTTCAATTCTTGCTTCTAAAATATTTACTGTGGTCTACTGTGGGGAAAATACTGTAATTATCCGCTGACCACCACGCTGGGTGACCGCTTTGCAAGTTGTGAGAACACCGTTTCTCGGTCCCAGACCTCGTCTCTTCCCCCGCCCCCTGAAGCGGACACTACAGCCTTCCCCGAGGGTGTCCGCTTAATAGCTGTGGTCACACTACAGACTTTTATCTAGGTAAAACCGATTTACCTAGGGCAAATTCAACAAAAATCTGCCTAGGTAAATTCACCTCGGGTTTTGTTTTACCTAGGTAAAAATTCTGGTAAGGTCACACTACTGATATCGGCTCCCAAAGTTTTCACGCCAGTTGAATTTTTTGGAGCGTAAATTCAAGAAGGCAAAATGCGCAGTGATCTAGCTGATCAAAGAGACGTTTTTTTTCTTTTATCTCGCTGTTATTTCTTACGCTAATTCAACGTGCAAGGTGAAGAAAGGCGAAGAAGTAGACGACTCGTGCTCCCAAAATTTCTTTCACAGCGTGATCTATGTCCGGTTCTGTCATCAAGACCTTCGCCGATGAGCATTTATTGGCTAGCAACCTCGGTATTTCATTTTCCCCTAGCTATTGCTTTGGGGTAGCTGTCAAGGGAAACTCTTTTGTTTTCGAGACATATCCAAGACCCAGACGATAAAATTTTCCCGAGGTAAGTTACCTGGGGAAAAATCGGTCACACTTAAAAAATCAAGTTTTCCTAGCTAGGTAAACTGTCAACAAGTAGAGTTTACCTAGGTAAAAAGTCTGTAGTCTGACCACAGCTAATACAGGTTTCACTGTATTTCCATTTTAACCATTTGCCAGAGGAGCTGTCTTCAAGATCTTAGTATTTGTCAATAAACTGTGGAATTTTTTCTGCCATAGTGGCTGTATAATCACTATCTTATAAAAGAGAGAAATTAAATTTCCAAAAGCTTGGTCCTCTTGGTTGTCGCACTTTTTTCTCAATTTCCATGCACACTGACGAATGATCACAGTGTGGAGCAACATTTATTTCGCATTTACGAGCGAGAGATTGTTGTAGAAGTTGCTTTGATGTTAACCAGTAATATAATCTGCATTTAATTTTTTGATCTAATGTTCGCCAGGTATAAATTGCTTCTTATTTGGGTGCAATTTCCTCCACACGTCTTCCAGATCTAAACTCTCACATTAGAGATTTTATCTCCTCAGCTACATGATATTTATGGGAGAAGTCACGGCCTCCTTCCTTATCTTCTTTAGATACAGGGCAGTTAGAGTCGCTTCCTAAAATAATCCTCTCGCTAGAAAACTTTTGGAGAATATTATTTACATGTAAATAGAATCGGTGCTGAGCGCCGGGATCGTTTGGTGCATAAATATTAGCACAAACAAGCTTCGTATCATCAATTACCACCTGCAAAATAATGATTCGACCATCTTCGCTTTAATGCATTTGGTTTTCTATCGTTACCTGAATTTTTGGGTTAAATGAAATGGCAACACCTTTGCTGTGCTTGCTACCGTGGCAGAAATGAATTTTTCTACCCCATTCACTGCTCCATAACTTTTCTTGATTGTTGGAGCTGTACGTCTCTTGTCGAAAAATTACTGAAGCATCCTTATTATGAAGTTGCCTGAAAATAGCTCGTCTTTTTCGTGAACTATTTATGCCTGTAACATTGAGCGTAATAAAACTTAATCTGTGCATAACTAATCATATATAATTGTTTATGGAAACGACCAGCTTGTGATAAGCGGCTCCCATTGCGCATATTAAACTTACAGAAGGATAACAATAACAACACAAAACAACACATAGAAACAGTTTACAGTGAGTTTACCTCCTCGAAGGAGTTCACGAGTGTGCGGGGTTCCAAAAACCTCGAACTAGCAACAGACGGCGATTAATGTTCTCCTGCTAATAGCATTTTTACTTGTCCATTTCGCTTTCCATTTTCTTCAGCTCTTCGTTTCTTACTGTTGTAACTTTGCCTTTCGAGTCCGAATACTTTAGCGTGGCCGGGTTGGCTATGAAAACCCCGCATTCTTGCTCTTCTAGCTTCTTTTGAAGATGTTTCTTGAAAGGAATAAGCTCTTTTCGGCGTTCTTGGGTGTCTTTTGCGAAGTCAGCTCCAATTCCGAGTAGATTTCCATGAAACAGATTATCTTTAAGTCTAACCTCAGCATTCGCCAGAATCTTCGTCTTGTCCGTCTATTTTAGAAAGGCTACGTGGATCGGTCTTGGACTCTTTCTGTTTTTGTTCAATTGCGTCGGATCGGAGTACAATGAGCACGCTCAATTTCGACGTGTCCACACAATGTTTCCAAGCCCCTGTGCGAGGCTATGAAGCGTTGTATGAAAGCCACACAATTACTAGTATCGCCTTCTGACTTTTCCGGAATGTTATAAAACACCAAGTTATTTTCTACTTCTCTTTCAACGTATTCTAGCTGCTTTAAATCTGCCTTCCGCTTCATACTTTCTTTCATTTCAGCAACGTCATCGTTGACTGCGTTTAAGCCTTTTTCAAGTTCAGTTATATTGCATACATACATACATACATGAACTTTATTAAAGTGTCAAGGTATTTAGAAGCTAAAAGCTAATTGTGGACACTATAAATAAATAAAATGAATATAATATAAGATTAAATCAAGTATACGTAAAAATATTAAAAATATATCATTAAAATATTATTAATATATTAAAATAACATTAATATATAAAATTATTACAGACAAACAGCAGCAGTATATGTAAAAATATTAAAAATATATCATTAAAATATCATTAATATATAACAATAACATTAATATATAAAATTATTACAGACAAACGGCAGGACAAGCAGGGAACGAACAAAGACAAAGAAATAGATAGACAAGAAACAAAACAGACAATCAGATAGACAGACAAACAAACAGACAATATAAGACAAACCATATAAGCAGCAGTCAAACATAAATACAAAATTCAGAAAGTTAAAAATCTAGAAAATTTAAATTCGACGAATTAAATAGAGGATAGGGGAGCACACTCCCAATACACCAGGCAGCCAGACAGCAGAAGCCACTATGCATACCTACCACTCTAAGACCCTGTTTACATGGAGTGGGGGACCCCGGTCTAGTGGGGTTGGTTTCTTTTGTTTTCACGCTCTGGGGGACACAAAACAAAAGAAACCTACCCCACTAAACCGGGGTCCCCCACTCCATGTAAACAGCGTCTAAGATGAGCATGCACAGCAGCCACACGTACTGTCCAGCAAGCCAAGCACATTGAGACCACGCACCCCTCTCCTGAATGCCTGAAGACTGGTCTTACTGCGTAGTTCCTGGCTTATCTTGCCCCATATGTGTGGGCCTAAATATCTGATACTGTGCTTGCCATACTAGCCTGGGAGCAAGCGAAGCGAGCCTCGCGAGGGGCCGAGGAAAGGAGAGCTTGCAACGATCCCTTATAAATTTTCATTTCCGCCCCGGAAACCCCGGGACTCCGCAAAGCGTGAAAACTATCACCGCAAACGTGTCGCAGATTAGAAAAGTGACAACCGGCTGTCAAGTAAGTTTAGACAGCCGAGGACGCGTAGAATTATTTATTTATAAATCGCTTTCGCAACAGCATCAAGGCAATGTTTTTAATCACTGATATGTTTTTTTTTTTTGACGGGGACATTGAACTTCAGCGTGTCCGCTCGGATAAGAACTCACTACTTTGATTCTCGTTTCGTTTACTTTTGAAAAGTCGTCCATACTGCAGTGTAGAAGACTACTCTCCATCGCATATCACCAACAAAAACATCATATATTTGTCTGTCTGGAACTGGAGAATAGCGTTTTCCTGCACTTGGTTCTCTTAAGGTTTACTCCAGTTGCTTCCAACTCTTTCTCTTTTCCTTCTTTACTGTCAAGCTACACAGCTACACTGTTAAGAAACCGATGTCTGAAGACAGCGCTTTAATCACTCTTCACTTTCACTCTCCCGGTTTTCAGAACTAAACAAGGCGCTTGACACAAATGAATACAACTGATGAAGGGTTTTCATTGTCCTTCCACAAGAACTAAAAACTCGGTCCCACTTATCCTTGGCACGCAATATTCTCTTTGCGAGAATTACATCAAACGAGCCCGTCTGCATTGAGGGCTGAAACAAGTTCTCAGTACCAATCTGATCCCCCTGAGAACCAAATTTAACACACAGACGAAGCGGGTGCCAGCTTGGCCTGTTATCAATCAACTTTGATTTCCGGAACGTCATTTTTCAGCCAATGGTATTTCCCTTCGTCTAGGCGAAGTACAAATGAAATTTGTAAGGGATCGTTGCAACTCTCCTTTCCCCTGCCCCTCGCGGCTTCGCCGCTCGCTCGCGCGTTCTCGCGAGACCTGTTTCACTCGTTGCCATACTTAACAGTGTCAGTATTATATCTTGGAACAGGAAAATCACTTCGTAAGTTATAATGCTTATGTTGCTTTTTATATTGTTGATTTTGTCCAGCATATCCAGCGTTTCTAGCTTCTGTATATCTTTCAAAATGGCGTCGTCAACGAGCACGTGGGCTGAGATTTCTTCCTCGGAACTTGACACACGCGTTCGTTTTTCGCTCGGTTTTAAAAAAGACTTTCTACTCATTTGTTTGAGCGAAACCTATCGTAAAGAAGGCTTGTTCAGGAGAACTCAGAGAAGCGTCCACTCCATAGGCTCGTCCTCGTCCCACTTCCCTCTGCACATAACAAGCAATTGTCTTCCTACATTCAGCTCGTTCAGTCTCTGCCTTGTTTTGAAAAGCAAATTATTGTATTCGATGGCAGACATTTTGAAGACGAGACTTACTTATGCAGGTCAACCTCTACCCAAACGACTGCACGCGATGTGTTTATTTCTCTCCGCTTGTCACGCATTAGACTGAGTGGACCAATCTTTAAGAAAGTCACGCAAGAGAAGGTTTTGCAATTCTTGTGTAAGTTTAAATTTTATTTCTTTTGTTTCAAACAAATTATCATACATCACCATACCCCAAAACAAAGGAAAATAAAACTTAAACCAAGGATGTAAAAATTGAAGCACAAAGTATACAAAGCAAACGTTCGGCAATCAACATAATATACAATGTTTGAGCAACAACTTGTCAATGAATATTTTATACTGAAAACTCGTCACTGAGGATCATTTTCTATAATAATAATTAATAATAATAATAATAATAATGATAATAATAATAGTAATGATAATAATAATAAAAAGAAGAAGAAGAAGATCTTAGGGTTTTCAAAACTTGCCGACGTCCGACGCAAGGTGCAGGCTACTTGCCGTGTTCGTGTCGGGCACTTTAAACTTCAGATCATTAATTTAAACAGTGAAACACTACGCTAATACTATCTGTCATGGCTTAAACAAAATAAAATGTAAATGATTGAAGAAAGTTGAAGAAAAAAAATCAATGGAATTTTTTGATGAAACTTTGTTATAATGATGTCGATTTTGACCTGTTAAATTTCACGTTTTGAGCCCTGAAAATGCACCAGAATACATCTTTGGGCGTTCAAATTTTCAAAATTTCGCGGGGGAGGCCCCCCAGACCACCCCAACAGGAGGGGGACACCCTCTCTCTTACCCTCCCCCAAGTGCGCCTTTGCCGCATTACTGAGTCGGAGAGAATTCAATTTCCTCCTTCTACTTTTTATAAAGATGAAAACCCTGACCGTGAACATGGATTTTTATCCACGAAGTGTAAAGCGAATTACAATAGATTATTGGCCGGCATTTCCGGGCATTCAGGTCCAAGTGTGGAGTGCCTCCTTTTTTCACCAAAATGGGCTTTATACTTAATTGCAGGGCGCCCCGAAGAATGTGGTTGTGATAATTAGATACTTTATTGGGTCTTGCTATTTATGGCTCTCTAAGTAATCTAAAAAGCAATCCGAGCAAAGAATATGAGATGGCGCAGCACGCAACAAAGTTTTATATTGGGGTGCTTCGCTCGAAGTCAAACGCGTGACAAAAAGCTACCCTTTCAAATACCTAGTTTAGAACAATACTTCCCTGCCCCGTCGTTTTAATATGAATAAATCAATAAACCAGAACGTTTTGTCGTCATTTTTACAGCCATTTTTACAGATGCGTTTGTTAGCCCTTTGAGGTCCCTTTATAGACAGAAATGATAGATTTCCTGACCCCTTTCATGTACTTTAACTTTTGTTTGAGTAGTGAAACCCCTACCCTTTTATTTTCTCTGGAAAAGGTCACTAAAAGGGTACTCCATTCGAGTGGATTCTTCCCTTATAGGCCATTAATGGAGTATAATTCACGCGACTGCTCCATGGCACGTCAATGCATGATGCTCAATTCTAATAATGGAGAACGTTATTGAATTCAAGTCGCAGTCGAACCCCGCTTTACGGACACCCACCGAATACGGGCACCTCGTTATTACGGACAGTTTTCCTTATACCTAGCCCTAACATTTTCTCTAAATTCAACCCGGTTAATAAAGTCGACACCCTGTTAATACGGACACTTTCTAAGGTCCGTATTAACGGGATTTGTCTGTATCCTGGCGTGACCTTAAACCAGTACAATCAAACCCCGTTAATAAGCTGACACTGAGGGGACCTTAGAAAGTGTCCGTATTAACTGGGTATCCGTATAAGCGGGTTGAATTTAGAGAGAACGTAAGGGCTAGGGACAAGAAAAACTTTCCGTATTAATGAACTGTCCGTAAAGCGGGGCTCGACTGTGCCACACCTGGCATGATCACATCCTGACCACTTACATCGTGAATTAGGTGTCTTATTATTTTTTTCTGTGTCTTCTTTCTCTTGCCCCGTCCACATCGTTTTCTCCGTTGGCATCAGTTCAGCGGTTCGCACTTTACGTAACGCGAACGAAAAAGTCACCAAAAACAACGCCTACTACCCAGGCTAAATCAAAGATCTACTGCATTTTTATCCGGGAAGGTATTCTCTAAATCCTGACCCAATTTCACACTAAAAATGTTATTTTTTACACCGGTTTTCACACCAGGCCTCTTGTATCCAAACCCGTTCTCAGACCTAACATAGGTAGAAAATACGTCATCATTTTAAGACTAGAGCTCAAACAAAAAGATTTCCTAAAATCCATTTTGAATTAGCATATCGCTCCTTCTTTCTGATTCATTTGGAATTGAAACGATCAATACGTCCATACACTCTTGTAGTCCTCGAAAACCATACGCGATTGCAGACTGAAATGGGCAAAATCTACCCCTGTTCCAGACCGAAACGGGGCAAAAACCATACCCCTATATGGCTTTTATAAGGAAGTATTCCCCCCCCCCCCGGCTCATAGGCGCAGAGTAAATTGTTTGCGATAAGCTAATAACTCCAAAATTTATTATAAATTATTATCATTATCGTTATCATCATCATATATATTAGTATTATCTTTATATTTAATTTATTGATTACCTAATGATCAATTGGTAAACCTAGCGTGATTCAGCGGATATGTTTAGAGATTTTTTTTTTTTTTTACGGAAGGATTTGCTTTAAAGAAATGGTTTCTTAAATCAATTAAAAACCTTAACAAAAGTTGGTGATAGGCTCTCCTAGAAATAAATGAAACAGAAAAAAACTGATCAACAAAACACCAACAGGCCGCCGACAAAAGCAGACCGAAAACTGACGATTCAATTACTGAAAGAAACTTCTCGTTTTGATAAGGTAGATATGGCCGAAAATCGATTTATGATTCCCGATTTTTTTTTCAGAGACGAACTCTTGAAACTCTTAAAACGCTGCGCCAGATAAATTTTAGTGGGCTTCTGATTTTGGATAGTCCTCAGCAAGCAAGTTTAAATGGTTGTCGACTGGTCAAAAATTTTCAATAATGTTCAAGCACAGAAGAAAACAACGCCGGCATTCCTTTCTTGATCACAAAATTGGACTCAATTCTGTCGAAAAGTACTTCCGCGAGATCGGTAGCTTTTCTGGTGTCACAAGAGGGCATGTGGTAATTTTTTTAACAAATACAATGAGAAAGATGGCGGGACTAAGAGAAAGAGTTAACGGAAAGTAGCCTTTCAAACCCTGAAACCTCTTTATCGTATTTAATTTAATTTTGTTACAAGGGTATTTATAGAAGATCGAGGGACGCCAATCTTACACGCATTGCTCGTACTTAGCTTAAACTATTCTTTTGAGCTCTACTTAAAGAAAACATTGGGTTACACTGCACTCATGAGTGTGCCACCTAAATTACAGCCGAATTTGTTTGTTAGCTCTACCTATTCAAAACACACTCATGGGTGTGGTACCTATTACAAGGTACAGCAGCCTATGTTTATTAGCTCTATCTCAAGAAAACACTGAGTTATACTTTACTCATACCTACTTCTACCTTTCGAACGTCTGTGTTTAGTTTAGTCTATTGACTACTTTCTTTCTCCTCCCACGTGCCTAGCTGCATATTTCTTGATTCAACCAAAACCATCTTTATCTTTATCCTTTCCTCAAATCAGGTTATCATTTTGACTGTCGACACTCGACTGTCGCGGGTAAGGTTGTACCAACACCAACAACAACTTACAACCTGACTTTATTTCAACATCTTTGTTACAGAATAAAACCAAAACACAACCCGTAAGTAGCAAAGGCTATTCGCGGCGGGTTGTGTAGAAATAGACAAATAAATAAAAATAATTAGGTATTTTTGTGAAAATAGAATGTAAAAAAAATGTGTTAAAAGAAAAAGGAAGATTAATTAGGTGAGACAATAGAGTCGAACAAAACGATTGGGGCCTGGAGAGCTTTCCCCGCACTCTCGCCTGTTCTTGAAAACTTTTGTCGTTTTCCCCGACCCGACAGACCGCTCCTGGGTCTCCGAAGGTGGCCTATGGGTGTTTCTTGGTGTTCTGGAAAATTTTGTTGGTGGCTCTGTCTAGTACCCAGGCTCTCATAACAAAGGTGATATCTCCCACAATGCAATTGTAGCAATTTGCACAACATGCAGGACGGCAGGTGTAATTAAAAGGGCTGGCCGAAAGCGGGCCCAGTTTATACAATACCTTCGACTTTTTCTCCGGAGGGTATTCCTGGGAATTCAGGAATTCGTGGTGGTGGTCCGCCGAGTGCCGTCCGACTCTCCAAATCCTAACTCTAGACCCTATTTCAGACCAATACCTATAAGGCAAAAGTAAGGGAGTACCCCCCGGGGATTTTCTGCGTCAAAAAAATGAACACTATCAATTATTAACTCTGTAAAGATAAAGCATGTTAAGGGAAGACAGCCATTAAATGAAATAGTGTTTGAAGCTAGCGTCCTATGCTTTTTCATCGTCTCCATCAAAAGATTCTACGATGAGTCGCCTTTTGGGGTTTTTCTTCACCTTTTGATGGCACTGCCCGGTTTAAGTATTACAAGAGCTTATAAGGAGCTTACACAACACGACGGCAACGGTCACGTTTTAACAAGGAAGAACGCAGACACAAGACAGCGTCGTTTCTTTCTTTTTTTTTTTCTTCTTTTTTTGTCCTAATGAATACATTGGCCGTAGGATTCTTAAGAATTCAGCTCCAGAAAATGCGCCCTTTTGGCAATTTGAACGGGATGGAATAACAGCTGCAGTGGAGTTTGAGACCACATTATCACATAATATGCACTGGCTTTACGATACTCGCCCATACACTTTCTCTGATTCCAAAAATACGAACATCCAAACAAGAAAGTGGCTTAGGAGAATGCCGAGGAGAGTAAAAATCCCCTACAATTTCCGGAGTCGAAAATGTGGTGGAGAGAGGATAAAACGTAAAAGGTTAAATTGCATCTAAAATTTT